TTGACAGGGAGGGTTGACGATCTATCCCATGATGTTGGAATACTACAGTCTTTCATTGTTGACCTTCAGGATACAGTAGCAGCGCTTAGAGGAGATTTAGCCGGCAGACGATGGGGGGACAGAGAGGATGGCGGAGATCATGATCGAGAGGGTGGCAGAGATGGTGATGGAGAGGAGGGTCACCCACATTTTTAGCGTGATGAGACATTGGAGTCATTGTTGTTGTCTATGGAGGGGGTGGCCCCGACGGAGGGACGGAGGAGGTGACGACAGAGGGGGAGGTCTCGACGGGAGGGAGGAAGGTGGCGGCGACGGAGGAGGCAGCCCCGGAGGTCGAGAGGACACCCGGCGTGATTGAGGATAAGAGACATGCTGTTGACGAGACGGAGTAGGTGGTTGGCAAGAGGTTTAGAGTGCCGTCACAATATGTTGTTTCCCATTCATGGTTGAGGCCAAGAGGAGGACGTTCATCGATGGGACGCACCCGAACTTATTCTGGGAGGTGGACAATGCCAAGTGGAAAGCGTTCGAGATAGAGTGGCGGAGAAGTATCCCCGGGTAAGTATTGTATGATTTTAATAAAGCACTGTACGCTAACTCGTCTACGCTTATTTTAACATTTCCCTATTTTTTACAGAGTTAGCCGCATGATAGGTCAAAGGACGGTCTCGGACCCTTACAAGTGGTTCCACGATATCACCACTGCGGGAGCTTGGCTCGCTGACGATGTAAGTGAACTATTCATTTCGTGTATTTTATGTATACGTCACTTTGTGTTTATTAAATGAATAACTCATACTTTTTTGGTATTTCCTGCTGCAACACATCGACCTGGCCATGGACTTGCTATGAGATCGAGCTCAAAGACATCCAAAATCATTTGATGTCCATGGTCGAGTCATATTAAACACCGAGTTCTTGCGTGTCGTTACCATAGAGTATCAGTCGCTCGAACTTATGGGTAACGAGTACACGTGCCAAAATATATGCTCGAGTGGGTGATAGGACTGTCACCGAGTGTCGAGGGAAAATCATGGGAGGGTTGTACACATATGTACATTCCAGCATGCATCAATAAACACTATGTTACGCTGGAGATCGTTTTTGCTGACTCGACTATATATGTATACAACCCAGATCATTCATATTTGACACAAGGCCAGTTGGAGCAAAACCTAGAGTCCGTGGCCGTAATTGTTCCTATGATGGTCGGACGAGTGGGGATAAATGTACAGGACAGATTGCTGATTGTTCGGAATACGACGACAGCGCGACAGTCCGTATGGTAAGTGTTTGAAATTTGTTATTTTTATTTTTCAAATTTAGTTTTTACTTACACAGTACTGAATTGATTCATTCTTGTTCAATTGCAGCGGCGACTGGGGCATATTTGCCATTAAGTACGTCTAATTTTTAAGTATAGGGCATAAGGTTGATGGAATCAACCAGTCGTGGATACAGAACTAGAGAAAGAAGCTAGCATGTGATTTGTTCAAATTTAATGTTGGCCCGTAAATTTGTATTAAATATATGTAACACTTCAATTGTAAATTTAATTATTTTATGTGATTATGAAATAATTGTAAATTTGTATTCAATGTATATAACATTTACATTGAAAATTTAATTATATTTTATATTTTATTATTTTACATGTAGGTCGAGTATGGGACTATTTTTTTCATATGAATCATGATAAATACAGTTTATCAAGAATAAATATTGAACATCGAAGATTTATAAAAAAATAAATATTGAACAATGTAAAGTAAAAGGAAATATTATTCATTTAACGTACCTGTCTAATCGTCATTTAGGGGAATTTGACTGGTACATAATTGTCGAGTATGCCCTACGGCTCTGCACCTGCTACACCTACGCGGTCGAGGAAACTCTCCGATAGATGGTATTCTAGATGTACTTGGACGTCCAGGACCACGCGGTTCAACTGCTGGTGGCAACAAATTATGAAATGAGAGAATGTGTTCGGGAACTTCCCACTCGACTTCATTCGACAGAGGAAATATAGTCTCAGCATATGCTGTTCTCTAACACTCAGTCGTATAATACAAAAGAGCATAACGTTCTCGCAGCAAAGCCTCGATACATGGCCACCGCAACTGCATGCTCACATGAAAAGCTCTCCAACTGAAATCTCGTGCAACTGCATGTGTTATCAGTCAAATCCACCATTTATATTCATCTAGTGCTTCCATATTCAATTTCCTCGCAACCTCTGTCGCCTTAAACAGTTTCTCCTCTTGAACTGAGGCCAACATGCTACTGCAACTCTATGATGTCGCACGTCGATCATGAAACCACTGTTGTAGCTTGTTACGAATGTTCTCAATCATTGCGAGAATTGATAACTCTCGATCCTTCTTAAACAATGCATTGAGAGACTCCACGTTATTCGACGTCATCATGTTGTATCGACGTCCTGGAAAGTATGACCGCGCCCAATGTTCGATCCCCATCTTTGTCAGATACTCCAACGCCGATAATGATTTACTTCCTATCTCGAGCATGAACTTATTACACTCTTCAGCACTGTAAGCTTCGGTTGCTCTCCTGAACAATGAAATGATGCCTGTGCCCTGATACCTAGTCTTCAAATTACCTTGTATATGGTACATGCAATACCCGTGATGTGCCCCGGGAAAAACCTCAGCGATACTGTTTATTATAGACTGTCCCCGATCGGTTACAAAGGCAAGGTCTTCGACTTTCCCGATCACTTCCCTCAGTTTAGAAAAGAACTAACGCATGGACAGATCATTCTCGCTGTCAACTATGCCGAATGCAATAGGGTAAATTTGGATGTTGGCATCTTGACATGTAGCAATAATTAATTTACCTTGATATTTAGCTCTCAGAGTTGTACTATCAATTAGAATTACGGGTCGCATTGCATTTCGAAAATCCCGAATACATTGTTCGAGAGCCATGAAGAAATATTTAAAATAATTATCGCCCCCCGTCTCAATAAAAAATGCTGTGCCAAGATTAGTTGTCCCCATGTTATGGCAATACCTAACCAATTTAGCATAGCTCTCTTCAGCCGATCCCATTAAATCCTCCGACGCACATTCTTTGGCCTTCCACGCTTTCTGATAGCTCATGACCACTCCATACTTTCGACGGACGTCGTTAACGATGTCCGAATGTCTGTAAATCGTCCGTAGATCCTGATACTTGTGCATTATCCGTCGACCAATAAACCATGCTCGAGCTTGCCTGTGATCATTTCGAAGAATTCCCACTTCGCAAGTATGTTCCCGTGAATACTTGCGAATTACAAAACAATTATTCGTGTCCATCTTAGTTGCTCTCAAGCGCCAATTGCAACTGTCTTCGACGCAGGCAACTGTCAACAATGACTTGTTTGATTTCTTTAACTTGAACTCAAAGTTATAATTTAATGTCAGTCGGTGCACAGCTTCCTGCAAATCTTTCTTGGTTTCAAACAGTTGCTCGACCTACAAGTCCTCATCATCGGGAGCCACACGGGAAGAATTGGAGGACGGTCCACTTGTTCCAACTTGTGAGCTCCCACCCGCTCGTATCTCTGTCGGGGATAAAGCAATCAAATTCTCATTTGTAAACTCGTTTATATTCTCATTGTCTTCAACTGTCGACGAAATTCTGCGCGTAATAGCGACATCACGATCAGAAGCAATTGTCTCAGGAATAACCACATCATCCACAGAAACTATCTCCACTGTCTCTCAAAAACTTCGATCATTGTTATCCGCCCTATCTGAATTTTCGCGTTCACCTTCGATAATATCCTTCGTAATTAAAGTCACACCAAGAACAGTCGGAGTTCGATGCATTTTATTCAATTCTAATAGATAATTCAATTCAACATCATTAGTACGAATACCAGTGGTATCGAAATGGATGAATCCCCATAACTGTTGAATAGATATCTCAATTGCATATCGTATTGAGATTGATCGACATTCAACTTATTTTGCAAATCGTGGTGCATTTCTAAGTATGGTGTACTCTCTGTTATGAGAATTGCAATACAACCACGTATGTCACTCGTCCATCTCCATTCCCTCCGATTATTTTCATTCAATTCGAAATCACCGAAATAAAAGACGGGAATTATCATATCTGCATGAGAAAATGGATTTAATCAACTTCATTTATTAATTATAAAAAAAATCAGTGCCAACAAAAATCAGTGTAGAGTCGGTTAATTGGCTGTTTAACAGCCGAACAATCGGCTGTTTTTGCGCAGGAGAATACGGTTCTAAAGAAAAATATTATACATCTGTTCAAAATTTTTTTGATAGGTAAGATCTGTTAAATTTTTTTTATACTAACTACTATGTCGACATAAAAGTTTTTTATTCAAACGTATACTAATTTACTGAAAACGAAATTAAACATGCGTAAATTTACTTACCGATTTGAAGTAATCGATATGAAAAAAAATTCCGGCTTCAACGTTTCAAAGTTTTTCTAGATTTTGAGGTTCAAACAGATGAAAAGATGAGAGTTTTTTCTGTGTTGGAAGCTCGTTTTGAAATTTTTACAAGAGAGAAGTGTTTGATTTTCAATTATTAACTAAAAGGGTAGTATAATCCTTTTAACAATATATTGTTTTGTAATTGTACAAAATATTTAAGGACATTTTTGTCTTTTACCATACAAGAGAGCAATGTCATAATATTCATGATTTTGAAAGTCAAAGTAGAATTTAGGTCCTTTGACTGTGATTTGGATGAGGTGAAGATTACCCAGAAACTAATTTTAATTTCACCTTCAATTTTTATTTATTTATTATTTATTATTATTATTATTATTATTATTTTTAACGAAATACAAATTTTTGATGATGTGGTTATGATTTTTCACATTTTGTATGCCACATCATTTTTTTCATTGCCACGTAGATATTTTTGTCCACCTGTACGAGTGAAAGTTGCTATGCTGATGAATGGGTAAACTAATTAGTATTTCAGTCAACATCGTGTGAGCAAGTAGTACTAACATGGATAAAGTTGAGTGGGCACTCGTTTAATTAACTCACCGATAGAACCTACATCCAAGTGCAAGCGCGATTGAATCTTCTCTTGTCCAGTTATCCGTAAAAAATCTCTTCGCCAAAGTATCCAAATGCCGATCTGCACGCCGTCATCTTCCGATTCGAGCTCTGGCTCTAGCTCCGTGTCAACCAAATCATGGATTATTCACGGCCTGGCGGTGGGGGCTGCCGCCGCGGTGGCGCTTGGTGCTCACGTCTACTTGTATTATCGTCGATCCGGAAGGTTCCGGAGCCGGGTTGTCGGGATCATACCTGCCCGTTTCGCTTCCTCTAGGTTCCAAGGCAAACCACTCGTTCACATCCTTGGCAAGCCCATGATCCAAGTATTTCTGCTTATTTTTCTTCTACTCGTACAACTGCTTTTATTATTTGAATTATTGAATATCACACTTAAATTTGTAAATATAGCCATTTTGGAATGGGTTAAGCATTTAGATGCGATAATTAACATGGTGATAGAACTAGACCAAAGACCTGGGTTCATATTTGCCTCCGCCAATTTGTGAAACTTGTGCAAGTGATATGCTGATGATAAAATGAATTCGACCTGTATGTGTGCCGCTTTTTGAAGCTCAAATTTAAATAAATAAATGTGGCAACTTTACAAAGGCATAAGCTTTTAGATCATACATGAATTTTTATTCATTTGCATTGTTGTTAGAAAACAGAGAATTAATCTATCCTTGTTGGTTTTATCAAGCTATTTACTTTACATTAGATACAATTTTATGTGCAATTTTCTTGTTGACTAGAAGGCGAATTAGAACAATGAAATGGATATTTGAATTGTAGAGACTACAGTGTTATTGAAATATGATTATTCACCTTTCAATTCTTAATTACAGAGAACATGGGAAAGGGCAAAAATGGCATCTTTATTGGATCATATTGGTAGAGCTTCACTTCATTTTGCTCCATATATGCTTATGTATAGATAGAAAAATACAAATAAAATTATGTTAAAGTTTTGGTTTTTGTGGTTTCTAATTGGGTGCTGATTTATTGATATAGTTGTGGCGACGGATGATGATAAGATTGCAGAATGCTGTAGAGGATTTGGTGCTGATGTGATAATGACATCAGAATCATGTCGAAATGGTAAGATAAGTCCTTCAATTTGCTTTAAATCATGGAAACTTGTCTTGGTTGGATATATTGCTAATTTTTTGCTTTTATAAATTTTCTAGGCACTGAGCGTTGTAATGAAGCACATCAAAAGCTTGGGAACAAGTATGATATTGTTGTCAATATTCAGGGGGATGAACCTCTTATTGAACCTGAAATAATAGATGGCATAGTAAAGGCTCTTCAGGTAGTTGTTTATGTCGTATGTACTCCCTGGCTAATGAATTCAGTGGTATAGCAAATAAAAAAAAAATGGAAAAGATAGGGATAGTAAAGGTTGAGCTCTAATTTGTTTATCTTTTCTCTCCATCAAGATAACAGTCAATAGCATCTCTAAAATGTGATGCCTAGATCCTGCAATGAGCAGTGGACGCATTGACAGTATTTATTTGGTATGTCATTTATGACCGCTCCAAGCCAATCTACAACTCGTGGTGCTAAATCCACGGGTCTATATTGAAGCATGTAGATAACACTTGGAGTTCATAGCGGTCAACTGCACATTGGTTGGAAGGATAACCGCTTTATAGTAGACACACACACACTCTGCTATTAACCTAAGTGAAAATAAAAGTATGCATGATGGTTTCAACATAGAATAGGCTAGTGTATGAGGAGATTGAATATTTATATGGCATAGACAAGTTCCCAGATTTATTTTCAATTAAATCCAAAAGGTTAGCGTTCCATATGTACCAGGGTGTTAAGGAAGTCTCATTGGTATGCCTGAACCCAATGATGGAGTCAACAATTTGACCCAATCCTTGGTCATATATTTCCTGTCAGAGCACCCTCAGGGTCCCATGAGTATCAGGTCTTGGGGTTGTTGATTCTTTCTGGGCTACTCTTGTGGGTTTCTCATGGTACTTTTGAATTGCAATGAGAACTAAATACTTTTCTTTTCTGAACATTATCTTCTTGTAGAATGGAATCACAATTTGGAAACAAATGTCCATAAAGCCAACTGTAGTGGATCAAAATATCTGGATGCACCATTGATCAGCTTTCTCTTCTCTTATAAGATAATAATACAAACGTTAACTGCTAGATTTGTGGTATTTAATAAAAAAATAAAATAAAATCTGAATTACAATTATTACGAAGTAGGAAAATATGCTACTCTTAATGGGTTTCTACGTGTGTTTGTTTCATGACCACTTTATGCAACTCAAATGAGATTTGTAACTTGTGCAGGCTACTCCAGATGCAGTGTTCAGCACTGCGGTTACTTCTTTGAAATCTGAAGATGCATTTGATCCAAATCGTGTCAAGTGCGTGGTGGACAATCGTGGATATGCAATTTATTTTTCACGAGGACTGATACCATTCAACAAGTTAGTGTTTCTCTGCTTTGCAATCAGTATGCGAAAGAATTTCTCAGACACGCTTTATTTTTTAGATATTGACATTTGTTTATATGTATTTGAGATAGGTCTGGAAAGGTCAATCCACAATTTCCATACTTGCTTCATTTGGGGATTCAGGTATCCATTAAAGAATTGTGGTGCATTCGTCATTAATACTTTCTGTACCATAATCATGTCCTGAAATATCAACGTTGGTTCTCTAAAGCCATTTTTTCCTCCTCTACATGGCACCTATTGTTGTATAGATTTTTTTTTTTTTTTTCCCCGCGATTTTGGTTTTTTTAATCATGCATGCATAAATTAACATTGAGTTTAGCGGGACAAGTTTCACTTACCAATTTCGAACTCCCTGTACCAATTACAACACTTGTTGCTTGTTCAAGTTGAAATCCTGAGGTGTTACCACTACTGTTTGAAATGAAAATTGAAGAGAATTTACTTTTTAGATTATAAGTTGGACAAGTAACGTAACTTGTGGGATAGATGGAATCAAATGATTGAACTTTGATGGACCAATTCAATTGACATCTCTAATATTATGTTTATATTTATATTATTATATATAATTTACTTGAGAAGCATTTATGCATATATAGGACCAAGTTAAAGAATTAGGATGTGAAAAAGGAAAATATGGTTTTTAAAACCGTGAATTGTTCCATATGTCGAAGTCAAAATTGTATCGTAGCCGCAGTTAATAATATTTGTGATTATATAATAACTAAAGAATTAAACTTTGACAAAGGGTATTGAGTTTGCCTATCTTCGAGGGCAGCGATTTTGAATGTGACAAGAACATGACAAGAAATTATTGTCATAGTTGATTGTAATTGTCAGTATATAATGCTAAGTTTTGGATGTTTGCATAGAGCCTTGATTCAAAGTTCCTAGAGATATATCCAGAGCTGCCACCAACTCCACTTCAACTGGAAGAAGATCTTGAACAGCTGAAAGTCCTTGAAAACGGATACAAAATGAAGGTTGCAATTAGAATTTCTGTCATGATTCCTTTTACTGATTCCCTCTTTTCTTCTCAGTTCTTTATTTTCTTGTGCACGTGCCAAGATCTTGCCACTGAATTTAGATGCCATTTAAACATATTTTGCACAAGTAACTTAAAAAGGTAATTAGACTTTACTTTTTAGTACACCCAAGCATGTTGTAACTTGTATGACATTGCATTTTGTGCACTCTCCTCGTATGATCACTAAGTCCAAGACGTCAGTTGACTTAATTTTCTTAATCCTCCTAAACTCATAAATGCTTCACTGCTGAATATGTTTATATAAGTAACATGCAATAGTTGTATTACTCAGATAATTGTATAACCATAACGGTAGAAGATGAACATCAAGGAAACAAAGTGATTTCGTACCTGTTTTTAGCAAGATTTCCTTTAGTCTTCTAACTATTGAACACTTACTCTGCTTCTTTAGATCATCATCATGGTGTGACCGTAATTTTGTACTTATGGAAAATATAAACTCGTTGTTTCTTACAGTTGAAAAAATCAAGTTGTCTAAATATTTTTTCCATTCTTGTTCCTGTGCAGGTAATTAAAGTCGACCATGAGGCCCATGGTGTTGATACCCCAGAAGATGTAGAGAAAATTGAACGTTATATGCAAGAGAAAAACTTATCTTAGCTCCTTCAATGCCATTGCGCATTGCAGAGGGATCTTATGGGAATACCCACAGTTGAGATCAACACAGGGATCCAATTTATGTATTGTGAGTCATCTTCATTTAGTAGAATAATGTACATGGTGACTGTAATGTGTGTAAAATGCGTTCTTTAGGTGTAAACAGGCTTGTATAGTCTGTAAGAGGAGTATCATTTTCCGAACTCGAGATGTGTGTCCTTTGCCTAATCCAACCATAGTCGACGCATCTTTGTTATATCTGAGTTCTTTACAATAGAATTTTTACTTTACACGGACAAGATTCAAACCACCTCAAAATGGGTCATGCTCGGGTATATGTGCGGGTGGACGAAAGTACCGAGTGACTAACCAGAAAAAGATTCTATTTACCTCCCTCACGATGCTCCAGGGCAGGGGTGGTGGGGGACTCTTAAGGTTAGGGTTTACCTTTTTATTTAATTAAGAATTGAAAGTCAAGTTCTCGATTCTACTATCTGGAAATTGAAAACTCGAAACAAACCATTTTAACATGTTTGTTCAATCATTTATCAAATAAAAGTCTATATTTATGTAAATTCTCTCGATATCAATATGGAACTTTTATAATGATTTGCTTTGATTCTATAATTACATTTGGAACTGATGATTTATGTGTAAAGTTTCAGTAAGTTTCCGATTATTTTCGAAACCGATAACCAAATCGAACAAAACCGGTCGTGTTCCCAAACATGCCTCTAATTAGAATGTGGGCCCCAATAATAGATTGTAACTACTTCTCATCCATTCATCATCTAATCCTCCCAAACATATCCCTAAACCAAACAAATTTCGCTGCACCACGCTCCCAAGTCCCAACCCAATTATCCATACGCGAAATCTCTCTGCACGAGAATTTTGATTTCTTACGCTATGGCTGGTGTATTGGAAACCCTAACTGTCCCGCGCGCCTCCGCTCTCCAGTCCGCCTCATTGGCTCCGGTAACCAGAGGTTCCTTTTCTCGCCGAAGCTCCATCAAATTACCCGAGTTTAGAGGCCTGAAGATCCATCTGGCTCGATCATCCGCATCGCTGAGTTTACGTTCAAAACTACCATGCCGTGGTAGTCGAATCGTCTGCGAGGCACAAAAGACAGCTGATGAAGGTTTGTATTAGTATTTTTTTGTTTGTTTGTTCCCTTTTTCGTTATGTTTTGTTTCAGCGCTCGATACTTTTAGATTGTGTATTTAATTATACGTTAGTGATGTCAATTTTACTTATAATGAGATGTAACCTATGACTCGTTCAACGGACAATACTTTGGCTGGAATTTACTTTAAAAAAATGCCGGAAATTGTTTCTTAATGGAATTGATAGATTTGTTATACTTCCCTAAAAAATGGCATGTAACTGAAGCTCCAAAAAGTTTCTTTTGAATTTGGAACTATTTCCCCACACTACCAACTCTAAACTCTGAATACAGTGCTACTTGGGTGATATTCAATTTCGAGTTAGTGCCCCAGGGGCTACTTCTACTGCAATTGCTTTCTTTAGGAAATGCCGACATCTACTCGAAATGGCTTGACATTCCAAACAAGTTTTGCTAATGTTTTATGTCAGACTGCAAATTTCTGCTTATATTGCGAAGGTTTATTTGTTATGTTGGCGTCCAAATCTTTTCTTTTTGAAATAGATGGCAAAAATAAATATTGAGTGATCTAGGGTAATAAATTTTATTTACTAGTTACAGTGATATATCATCTAAGGGACACGTTAATAATTCTAAAGTCCATCGTCAGCGCCCTAAACTTAGAATGTAAAGCAAATAGTTATTACTGATCTTTTGTTTGGATGCACTTTACTGCCATTGTGGTCTTTGAGTAATACTTCACTGGAAAAGCTGAGAAATTACTACTAAGCTTCCTTTTTCATTTTTTTGTGCTTGTATAGTTATTCAAAGAGAATTGCAAAACAGGCCAGCAAATGCTTAGCCAACACGAACATAAATAACTTGAGAGATGTGGTAGTTAGGTTGGTACCAGCTTTCTTTATAAGCATGGGCGAATTCCATCCCTTAATGTACCCCCCACATCTTTCTTCTCCCTGGTTACACGCTCATGGGATTGGTTGAAAGAAAGAGTCTGGATTGGTTGAAAGAATGAGTCTTGCTCACCTAGTTTCCCTGCCAAGTACTTTAATCAGTAATCATGAGGCATCAATGTGCGTTTATGACCTGTTCAAAGTAATTGTTTCTAATGCTGTTGAAACTGATCCTGCAAATTTGTAGTTACGGTGAAAGAACATTGACATAAATGACATGTAATCAGAGTATATTAATATTTTCTCTTTTACTTCAGTTGCCTTGTCTCCATCTTTATTTATTGTTTTTTCCTTTTCTTTGGGTGCAATATATGGATTAATTTCAACTAGATATTCTGGATATTTGATACTGGTTTGGACATTTTTAAAGGAAATCCATACAGGAGAAGATTTTTGTCTCATTTTGCATTTTCTTTTTCCTTCTTTGAAGTCTCTTAGTAGTTTCTTAGAATATATTTGATGCATTGTTAGGAGTCTATTCCAGATGTAGAATAAATTAAGTTAATTAGAGTTTACTTTATTTTCTTGGTTTTCAATTATTGTACTTTTTAAAGCAATATAATTTTGTTTCCTTATGTGGGAAACACTAGGTTTCCTTATTTTATCTAGTCTAGACGTTATACAAAGAGGATCTTGCTTTTTAAAAACTACCTTTGATCATTGAATAAAATTAAAGCATAAAAGTTTCCCGCTTTGTTTTGTTTTGTTTATTGTTATTAGTTGACCCAAAAAAAGAAAATTGTCATTTTTGTTTCTGTGTATGCCAGAACTGTTCACATGTGAAGCAGCCTTTATAAAAAAAGTCGAAAATTAAAATTTATTTGCAGGCACCTTTTCTTTGTTATTTTCACTCAATTTCAATCCACCCAAAGAAGCCCAGGGGTGTATATTCCTGCAATCCTAGCCCATATGCCAAAATTGCATAAAACCTAACTCGGCCCGGATATCCACCTAACTCCACCAAATTCATTACAGCCTATATAACCTACCCGCTAATGTGACCTACATCCAAGTAATATACTATCTGATGAGGGTATATCATCTGATGAACTTGCTGTTTTAACGAGTGTAATTATTCTACGTCTACCCTTCTTCTTTACCCAAATGACGATGAATGTCAATGAGGGAAAATAAGATGCATCTATATGATACACCGTTCATTTTTTGCTTTTTTTAACATTTCTGTAAATTTGTAATTGCTATGTATTGTTTGATTTGCACTTCGATATATATGTTATGGCTTGTGACTTACATATTCAGCAATTCATTCTTGCGATAACTTTGCTATTATGATCGTAAGTAGTGATCATAATAGTGGTTTGTTAATCCAAACTGCAGTGCCCGGTATTAAGGATTCAGCGTGGAAGTCCCTTGTACTCGAGTCCGATTTACCTGTTTTAGTTGAATTTTGGGCACCATGGTGTGGGCCTTGCCGCATGATCCACCCGGTCATTGATAAACTGGCTAAGCAATATGCTGGAAAGCTTAAATGCTACAAGGTTAACACAGATGAGAGCCCTACAATTGCTAGCGATTATGGAATCCGAAGCATTCCAACTGTTTTAATTTTCAAGAATGGGGAGAAGAAAGATGCAGTTATTGGAGCAGTTCCGGAATCCACATTGACAACCTCCATAGAAAAATTTGTGTAGATTGGTAAGTACAATAATGTCTTTCCTGGGAGTTAAGCTGTCTCTTTTGTTGTTTTAATTTATCTCATGACATGGCAAGAATGGCTATATGACAACATGATATGCTCCTGTATAGTTGATGTTTCTGTATTTCACGTTTTCTTCAACATAACGTTAGTTCTTAAATTAATGTACCTATTAATATTGTCTTCGTATATTTTTCCTCTACTGGGTTTTATTGTATATGTTTTTCTCTGCTCTTTACGCTGATTTGAGTGAAGCGAAAATTGTATCATTCAGAAATGCCTCGTTTCTGAATTTGATTGGATAATTTGCAATTGATCACGGTCCAATTAGCTCTGATATATTAGATTTATTCGAACCAGAGGATTTTTCTGTTAAGCAATACTATATCGAACCAATTCATATGCTAGTTGATCTATTTTGGTCGCTCCTACTCGATAAGGATTGAGTTTCGGCAAAGTGTTTCGAGTACAAGAAAAATCAGTGTCCAACAAGAAAGGCATGAAGACAATTCTTGAACTCTGTATAACGATAGATATTCGAAACATTGAAATACATAAAAGTCATCACAAATTTTAAGCACAAAAATGTATCGAACTATCGTTGAATTACTAAGATACTTCGACATGATTTTCATTACACTCAAGTTTGATCACTACGTCTCGAGGTTTGCAGGTGTACAAGTCTACCTTGTATGTAATATCTTAGTTTACCTTATATGTAATATCTTCAATTTTACGCAAGTATACATGCTAAATCGAAAATGGAAAATGCTTGTTGTACATAGCTGTTTACATAATGTCGATGTGTCAAAATGTGGGTGAGGAAGTTATTTGATTGATGAGAATTTGATCCAATTAAAATCAGCCACATTGTCTATTGATAAATCATTATGTAAATTGCTATGTACATATAACATAATTCATCTGAAATAATAACTCAGAAAGTTTTTTTTAACTAAATAGTAAATATACACGATAATTTTAGAAACTAAAATATAAGGGTGATTTTTTAATACGATGACAACCATTTTAGATAACATTTTTAACATTAAGGTAAAATTTAGTTCATGTATGAGTAAACGTTTTAAAAAGTATTTATTTTTTTGTCTTCAAGAAAAAGAAAAAAGACAATTAAGTATTTTTAACTGTCACATAAATAATTTACTTTTTCTTAATTAAAAAATGTAAAACATTTATTTACTTTAGAATTTACTCAAAGTATTTACTTTTTGTTGTGAAGAAAAAAGATAATCATTTTCAACTGTCACATAAATAAGTAACTATATTTAATTGAAAATGTAAAATATTTATTTACTTTAAAATTTACTTAAAGTATTTGTCTTTTATCGTCAAGAAAAAAGTAATAATTTTCAACTTTCACGTAAATAATTTACTTAATTTTTAATTAAAAAATTTAAAACATTTAGCGTGTGTTTGATTTCAAAAAATATTAAATTTACATGGAAACAATAAAATTTATTTAAACAGAAATTATTAATTAAATTTGTGATTGATTTAATTTTCAGTTTAGAAAATATTATACTTTTCAATATCTTAATGGTCGGTAAATAAGATAGAAACGAATTACTTGAAAAATAAAAATATGTACCTCTTCAAAGAAAATATTTTTCTTATTTTTAGAAAGATATAGTTACGTGACTAATTTTTGAAAAGTATTTTTCATGAAAAAAAGAATGTAAATCAAACACTCGAAAAAAATAAAAAACATTTTTCATGAGTCAATCACACACACCCTTTTAGAACTTGTTTAATTGCCCAGATCATGTCATCGTCATTAAACTGTCCGCTCGCTGTAAAACCCTAAACCCTAACAGAAATCTGCAAACCCTAAACTACTTCTCCATGTCGCATTGCAAAGTACAAATTTTTACCAATCCCACCATGTTCAGTACCTTAAATAGATCACATTCATTTTCAAACACTAGAAATCTCATTTTTCTCAGAAAAGCTTTGTCCTTGGAAACTTACTGCACAATAATTGCTGCTTCACCTACTACTGATGTAAAATTCTCAGCCTCAAGGAGTAGAAATTTGTTTTCCAGAATTAGCCCTATCAGACAGGATGGTCATATCGTTCCGGTGCTCGATCAGTGGGTCGCTGAGGGTAGAAAGATTAATTATCTTGAGCTGCAGCGGATAATTCGGGATCTTCGAAGCCGTAGACGTTTTTCTCAGGCCCTTCAGGTTCGATTTTAAGTTATCATTATTTTTTTCTTTGTTACTGGAATTTATGGGTCCTTTTGAAATCTTCATGATATTGATAGCTGTACTTCTATGGCTTCCTTGTTCATAGACAAAGCCGATTCGGAATCGTGTTTCGTTTACATCAGTCCCACGAACCTCTTATACGCTGAGGAATTGGCATTTGTTAAGAAAATATTTACTTCGTTAATTAAGGGTATAAAGATGGAAAAGTGTAGACACTACATAAAACATTTCCTTGGTTTTGGATTGATTCCATGGATGAAGAAGATAATGATTTCATTATCGCATATGAGATTGCTAAAATTTCTCCTAATTACACGACTATGAGATTCTGAAACACTTGTACCCTACATCGAGATATGGAAACTCCTAATTGGTTCTAACTTTAGCATCAACTGCAACTGGCTTAAGAACGAAGGAGTGCCGGTCTAGAGTTGTTCGGTAATGAAATTGAGTAAGCAGACCAAACATTACAACTACTTTTGTTCTAAAAATTGAAGATTACTATGGCCATGAAAGCTTTTATAAGTATAACTCGTATATTTCATTCCTAAATTTAAATAGCACCAAAAAAGAAAAAGAAAAATTGAACTCCAGACTCACATCATAAATTTTTTATGAAAGTGCTCTTATATATTCTTTTCTTGTTTTTTTTGTTGGTGTACCTTGTCACCTGTTTCAACTGTGACATACTCAATCTGTGATACTTGGTCCAGTTTCAGTTTCTGTGTATAACTTGTGTTTTAAATTTCTGCTGGTTGATGCTTGGGGCAGCAGATTTCTGAGTGGATGTCTTGTAAAGATATCTTTGAATTTACGCCGGGTGATTTTGCTGTGCATTTGGATCTTATTGGTGTGGTCCATGGATGGGAAGCTGCGGAGAGATACTTTGGTAATCTGAGTGACCTAGAGAAAAATGAAAAGACATATGGTGCTCTCTTAAACTGTTATGTCAGAGAAGGCTCCTTAGACAAAACCCTTACCCATATGCAGAGGATGAAAGATAAAGGATATGCTTCATCTCTTGCGTACAACAATCTCATGACCCTATACAAAAAGACAGGCCAACTCGAGAAAATTCCTGATGTTCTGTCAGAAATGAAGAGGAATGGTATTGCCCCGAACAACTTCAGTTACAGAATTTGCATAAGATCGTATGGAGAGAGATCTGATCTAAATGGAATGGAGAAGCTCGCGGAAGAAATAAGGAACCAACCTGACATCTCCATTGACTGGGCTACTTATTCTAATATGGCATATTGTCTTATAAAAGCTAATGAAAAGGAGAAAGCACTTCATTATTTGAAGAAACTAGAAGAAAAGCTCGATAAGGATGCATTGGGCTATAATCACTTGATTTCATTATACGCACATCTTGGGAATAAGGACGAGATGATGAGATTGTGGGTTTTGCAGAAGGACGCATGTAAAAAGCAAATTAACAGAGACTACATAACCATGCTAGGTTCTTTAGTGAAACTCGGTGAGTTTGAGATGGCTGAGACATTGCTAAAGGATTGGGATTCTTCTTGTCGCATGTATGATTTCAGAGTGCCAAATATACTCCTGATTGGGTACTGTCAGAAAGGTCTAATCGAGAAGGCTGAGACAATGCTTCGAGATATTATGGCTAGGGCAAAGACTCCAACACCAAACAGTTGGGCAATCATTACTGCTGGGTATTTGAATAAGGACAATATGGAGAAGGCTTTTGAGTGCTTGAAGGAAGCTCTCGCCGTGAAAGAAGAAAACACAGGATGGATGCCAAAACCCACAATAATTACACGGATATTGAATTGGCTTGGTGAAAAAGCAGATCCTGAACAGGTTGAAGCTTTCTTGAGGTCACTGAGGACGGTGTCTCCAGTAAATAGACATATGTACCACACCTTAATAAAAGTGAATAAAAGAGTTGGGCGAGAAGTAGATTCGATTTTGGAAAGCATGAAAGCTGATCAAATAGACGCAGATGAAGAAACAGAAAAGATTCTTAGCTTAGGATGAAGGGATGTTATTGAATCGTGATTTCAGACACGTCTTGTTTGGTTATATCGGCGTGTTTGATTGTCTTCAGTTTAGAATATTTATCCGAGAGACATGAGATACTTTCAGTTTCATCAAAAATCAAAACTGTGTAATGCATCACACACAAACATGGGAGCATAAGGCATGCAGCATCACTATGCGCTTTGCACAGCTGAATTTTCTTCACATTTTTTTTTTCTCTTGTTGGCATGATTATGCCTTTTTAATGTCTTTACAGTTTAGTGTTTTTCATTTCAATTTTGTATCTTTCGAGATTATTTTGTAATTGTGAAGAGTTCTTACTGTCTTACTAAAGAAATTATAAAAGAAAAATGTGATTTGAAATTAACAGTAGCCAAACATGGGCTCACAGTATGATCAGTGTAGTGTACTTTTTCCAGTCCAATGAACAGAAGTGTGAAACAATAAATTCTAACTGAAGTCGTGGTGAAGGAATACTTTTGAAAAGCGTTTCGACCTATTTAGAATGCGATTTTAAGGATAGGCGGCTTGAGTCCACACAAATTCTCTTCGACGAGCGATAGCTCACACTATGGCGAGGGATCGAAAAGAAGCTCCTGGAGATAAAAGTAGAGCATCTCCATCCAATAGACGTGTCTACTACAAATACGATTCGGAACCCGATCTAGGTTTAGACTCAGAATTCGATGAAGAACCTAGAAAATTCGAGGGTGTCAAAAAATGTAGATTTTGAAGAACCTAGAAAATCCGAGTGTATCAGAAGATGTAAGTCAGCAATCCCAGCAGGCATCACTAGTTTACATGGATGATGAGCTGGATAGTAGCTCTTTGGAAGCACAAGCACAGAAGTTTCTGGGAGATAAAGGAAGAGGGTAGATAATCTAACTAGTTACCTATCATTTTGTTATGCGGTTTTCATTTTTTTTGTATAGCTCCTTTCCTTTGTTTTCACCCAACTAGTTGTAACTAACTAGTTATGGAATATTCTTTCTGTTTTCCTGATAATTACTGATTGAATTGTACACTATAGATACAAGTGAGTGAATACTACAAGAAAATTCTCTCAATCCTGTTATTTTATTTCTTTTCTTTAGCAATTTCTTATATGGTATTTGAGCCTCAATGGCAGAAATTGATTCTGTAAATCCAAACACTACTCAATCCTCCTCCAAATCCAAGTCCAAATACGAACCTAAGCTCATATAGTGAATCGGGAGCTGCATCTGCTACCCTACATCACCAAATAGACCCCACTACTTTGGCACCAGTAATGGCAGTAGTGCCATATTGGTCACTCATTAGCTCGACGCAAGCAACTAGTATTCTTGGGCAAGGTCCATGAAAAGAGCACTTAGGGTTTAAAACAAGCTGGGTGTCATCGACGGGTGCATTTGTGAGCCAGCTGATCCAAGCGTTATCCTGATAGAGCATTGCTGGCGATGCAATGACATTGTAATCACTTGGCTTCAAAACACTATGTCATTAGATATTAAATGTAGTACCGTATACGCAGAAACAACCCACCAGCTATAGATCGAGTTAGAGCAACGTTTTGCACAGTGAAATGCTCCTAGAATATATGAAATCCAGCAAGGTGTAACAGCTCTTGTCCAAAATCAAGATGTAAGTGTCCATTTTTCCAAGCTCAAAACTCTTTTGGAAGAATTGATGAATTATGAGTCGATACCCAACTGTTCTTGTGGGGTTTTAAAGACTGTGATCAGTGACCAACAAAGAGATTGGGTTATGAAATTCTTAATGGGATTGAATGATTCTTATAAGGCTCTCAAGGCCCAAATTCTATTGATTAAACATTTCCCAATTCTGAATGATGTACATGCGATCATACAACAAGAAGAAAAGAGAAGGCATATTTCTTCTGATGTTACTGTTACTGATTCTATAGCACTTCTGGCGAAAGAAAATTTTAGAGATAGAGGGAGGAGCTGATCTGGACAAAAGGACAAGTATTACTGTACCTACTGTAGGATAGCCGGTCATTCCCTTGAAAGTTGTTTCAAAGCTAATCCAAACAAGCCAACTTGCTCTTACTGTCAAATGCTAGGCCATCCCACGAATAAATGCTTCAAGTTACATGGCTATCTACCAGGCCATAAGTTAGAAAATCGAAACAAGTCGCCAGCATCCTATGCTAATCAAACCACTGTGCTTGTATCTACTGGCCAAGAGCAGGTAAGTGATAAGAATCAAATGTCTCTTAACTCAAGAGCAATATGCTCAGCTTATGGCTCTGCTAAAACCACAAAGCTCTCAAACCTACACAGCCTCAGCAAATCAAGTTCATTCCATTATTCCATCCCATTCCAATGATAGTAACATCCCAAAAGTTTTTGGTATATCTCTATGCCTTTTTGTTCATAGCACCAAACTGTCTAATTCTTATGTTGTTCCTTAGATCTTAGATATAGGGGCAATTTCTTCAAAATTTTTTTTTTTTCCAAAATCAAAGCCGAGGTTTCTTATTCTGTTGCTCTACCTAATGGTGAGGTTGTCCCAGTCATTTATAATGGGACAGTCAAATTTTCAGTCTTAGATTCTTGACAATGTGCTTTGTGTTCCTTCATTTTCTTTCGGTCTTATATCAGCCAGGAAAATAACACAAACCATGAATTCTTGTCTCATCTTCTTCTCTGATTTATACTTCATACATGACCTTTTAACTTCGAAAACGATTGGAATGCGTGAAGTAAAGCAAGGCTTGTATCACTTGCTGCTATAGGAAGTTTCTCCACATGCTTTGGCCAAAAAGTTAGCTTAGTCAACCCACAAAATGCCCATGTCTGCTTCTACTGATTCTAATGGTGCTGAAGATTTGATCTTTGGCACTATAGGTTTAGGACACTCTACCTATTCCAAAATAGAACTACCAAAACATACCTCTAAAGCTACAAAAAGGCCATATCTAGTCTGCCTTATTGCTAAACTGCAGAAACTACCATTCTCTCTTAGTAAACATAAATTAAAAAAAAAAAAAAAAAGTGTTTTGATCTCATACATTGTGATCTATGGGTCCATGTAGTGAAATCAGTTATGATGGTTTTTGATATTTTCTAGCTAAAGTGGATGATTTTAGTAGATGTAATTGGGTACATGCATTGAAATTGAAATCTAATGCAAGAAGTACTAGTTTACAAGGTTTTTGCTCCATGATTGAAACTCAATTAGAAACTAAAATTAAAGTCATCATATTAGACAATGGTGGAGAATTTGACATGAAACGATTTTATATGCAAAAGGAGATCATTCACCAAAGAACATATGCGGAAACACCACAACAAAATGCCATTGTCGAAAGAAAACACGGGCATATACTAAATGTGGCCCGAGCTTTAAAATTTCAGAGTGGAATGCCTTCGAAATATTGGAGTGACTGTGTCCTCATTGTTGTATACCTCATAAACAGAACCCCTACACTTCTGTTGGACCACAAAACCCCTTTTGAAATGCTTTTTTGGTCCAAACTAATCTACAGTCACCTTAAGGTCTTCAGGTATCTTGCCTTTACAACCACTTTGGTAAATGAGGGACATAAGTTTGATTCTATGGCTAGAAAATTCATATTCTTGGGTATCCTTTTGGAGTCAAGGGGTACAAATTGATGGATTTAGAAACAAGAAAAGTTTTCACATCAAGAAATATGATTTTTCATGAAAATGTTTTTCCCTTTAAATAAAGAATTGATAATAATGTTGACTGTGATTCAAATCCAATTCAAAACTCGATTTCTTAAAGTCCCATTATCACTATCTTAGATTCCCATGAATCAGCAATAAATAATTCAGAATCTGAGCAGACCAATAACTCAAATTCGACTCTCATCAATTTTGCAGGGATTTCAGATCAAACTGAGGCAACAACTAGTTTTTCTTCCATATGCAACTAGCACTTCAGCATCTTTGCCTGAACCAAATCCCAATCTACCTTACCCTCCACATACCTCAAAAGACAACATTGAATCTTTTCAAAACCAGTCCTTGGATGAGCCTCTTCTTCAAAGATCAAATAGAATTAGAAGAACTCCTGCACATTTACAAGATTTTATTTGTCAACAAGCAGCTGCACTCCCCCATTACAAGACTTGGACAAGGAAAAGGTCAACATTTCACCAGGTAAGCCCTTTCCTTTAGAAGCTACTCTGTCTTATCATAAATTGTCCACTCCTCACAAAGCATTTGTTGTTTCCCTTAGCGCGCACACAGAACTAAGAAACTTTAAGGAAGCTTTAGAATTACCTAAGTGGTGTAGTGCCATGAAAGCTGAAATAAATGCTCTTGAATTGAATGACACTTGGCTTATCATTGATCTGCCCCCGATAAAGAAGCTATAGGTTGCAAATGGGTGTATAAGATAAAGTCCAATGCAGATGGAACCATAGAGAGATACAAAGCTAGACTAGTTACTAATGGCTATACATAGCAAGGACCTGATGATGAAGCGTTTTCTCGTGGCAAAATTGGTTACTGTTAGAACTTTATTAGCAGTGGCAGCCATTAAAGGATGGCATCTATACAAGTTTGACGTAAACAATGCCTTCTTATATGATGGTTTAGAGGAAGAAGTTTATATACAGCTACCTCCGGGATATTCCAGTGCTAATGGATCAAAGGTCTATAAGTTGAAGGAAAACCTATATGGTCTTAAACAAGCGTCTAGGCAATGGTATTCTATGTTGTCTAAGGTAGATTACACACAATCTAAGGTAGATTACAGCCTATTTACAAAGACCATAAAAAATTCTTTCACTGCCATTTTAGTATATGTTGATGATATCATCATGGCAGTTAGTTATTTAGACTTTATCAATGCTCTCAAAGCTTCTCTGCATGATAAATTCAGAATCAAAGATTTGGGGCAGTTGAAATTTTTCCTTGGGATTGAGGTAGCAAGGTCAGATAGAGGCATACACATACGCCAAAGGAAGTATGCACCAGATATTTTGACAGATGGAGGTAAAATTGGTGTTGCACCAGCGTGTATTCCACTTGATCAAAATCTGGAACTTTCTAAAGACCATGGAGAGCTTATCCCTGAACCATCAATTTACAGAAGGCTGATTGGGAGACTTTTGTATTTAACTATTACAAGACCTGGCATATTCAATGTAATTATTAAGTCAATCTATGGATAGTCCAAGGTTACCTCATCTTAATACGGCTCAAAAAGTCTTAAGATACATCAAAAGTGCACTGGGGCAGGGCCTACTCTACTCTTCACAATTAGCTTTGCAATTGATAGGTTATTGTAGTTCGGTTCGTGGGGCTTACTAGGATACAAGGAGATTTGTTATTGGATATTGTGTTTTTATAGGGTCTTCTTTGGCGTCTTGGAGGTCTAAGAAGCAAGGAGTTGTATCCAGATCTTCTGTGGAGGCAGAATATTGGACAATGGCAAATCTGTGTTGCGAATTGACTTAGATAAGATATCTTCTTCATAACTTACAAGTCGAATATCCACAAGCAGCAACTATGTTTGTGATAAGAAGGCTGCACTCCACATAGCTTCAAATCCTGTCTTTTATGAGAGAACCAAGCGCGTTGATCTTGATTGCCATCTCATTTGAGACAAGATTCAAAATGGGAGCATAGTCACAGAACATGTCAGTAATGGTCTGCAAATTGCAGATCTTTTGACTGAGGCATTTTGTTCTCTAACCCTCTATTCTCATCTACTCAAGATAGAAGTAGAGGATATCTACTCTCCATCTTGCGGAGGCTATTAGAAAATGTAAGTCAGCAATCCCAGCACACATCATTAGTCTACATGGATGATGAGTTGGATAGTAGCTCTTTGGAAGCACAATCACAAAAGCTTCTGGAAACTAAAGGAGGAGGCTAGGGAATCTAATTGATTACCTGGCATTCTGTTATGCGGTTTTCATTTTTTTGTATAGCTCTTTTCTTTCTTGTTTTTGCCCAGCTAGTTGTAATTGATTAGTTATGGAATATTCTTTTTGTTTTCTTGATAAATACCTATCGAATTGTACACTATAGATACAAGTGAATGAATACTACAAGAAAATTCTATCAATCCTGTTATTTTAT